TTTTTAAATATTAATAACACATCATCAAGTCTTTACTTATCTAGGATAGTGTCATATGAAAAAAATAGTTTCTTTTATTGCATTATAACAGATACACAATGAATTGTTTACTAAAGTACCGTCAGTTTGTTGTTTTCGATTGCAACAATGATCGTCTCAATATTTTTTCGGATAACATTATATGTGATGCATTGATTTTACCAAATAGTGAATATCATCTATTCTGGAATGATTTCAACGTTTCAATGTTCCGAAAATTGAGATTTACTCTTAAACGATTCCCTCAAATATATCTTCATCCATATTACAGTAGAAAAATATCAACTAAGGCTAACTTAAAACTTGTCAATTTCATACATGAACATATAAATGAATTTGAATTGATTATCATAGTACATGGAAATGATCGATCTTATCAAGAAATCTTTCGATCTATTATAAAAATGTACGGTCGAAATAAAATTGTATTAGTTGAATTAGTTAAACCTTACAATGAAAATATCTACAAGATTTTAATTCAACATCAAGTGGGACATGTCATCAATAATTTTGATGATCAATCGTATGAGATCGAATGGGACAAACAGGCAAACAGTTAGCATGTCGTCTTCATTAGTGGCTCTACTTGAGCGATGTGACATGACCAGAGTTTATCCAAGATTATGGACCCGCATCAAGCGTCGAAAGAGATCTGCAAAGATAAGATTAAGTTATCGTTTTAATATGTATCGTCACGAAATATAAAAATTCTTTGAAAAATTAGTTCTGAACAATACGTTTTCAAAGATTAGTGACGCTTATAATGAATTATTTTCATATTTGGAAACAGAACTAATAAAAACTCCTGTGGCTGCATGGAAAGACGCACGCTACTATCCATCGCACCAACAATCGTTCGAATCTGATAATGATTTCTTCCAACATCAAGTTGATTTACATGATGACTCTAAACAATTGTTGAATACTGGCAGAACTATGACAATTTCTAACCAACCTAAAAGATTCCAAAGATCAAGTTGGGTGAGAAAAAAAGCCTATATTAGACGTTGGCATACTCAATTTTCTAAAAAAAATTCTTAACCATTCAAAATCGGAAAAAACATATTAATCAACAGTACACTAATAATTTACCTTTAAATATCCCTTTATTTCATGTCATCAATACAATATTAATGATCAACAATTGTGAGACAACGAACAAACAATATATTAATAAATCAATCAAAACTTTCTCTTGTTGGAAATGTAATAACAAGTATCAATATAATGAAGATCGTGTACAACATTTTATTGTTTGTCATTTCGCACCGATATTCAATCAGATAGAGAGTTTGGAAGGTTCGAATAATACTATAAACAACTTATTTAAATGTTGGGAATGCAAAAAAGAATTTAAATCTCAAAACGGTCGATTATATCATTTCATTCACAAACATGCTCGAACTACTTTATCAATTAATATTGATCCATCAACTGATTTAAAAAATCAGATTGAAATGTCAAAAGAGAAGACATCAAATACTGATCAATATAAGACAGACACTTCATTCTCAACATCGTCCTTTCATACGACAGAAACTACACAACATATCATCGAAAATAATCGTATAGGAAAAACAATATTTTGTTTACAATGTAATAAGAAATTTCGATCAACCGGTTATTATAACAAACATATTAATGCCAAGCATTCTCAAACCATTCTTAACATAGCAGCTCCGAAACTAAAATTTCTTCCAGATCGAATCAGACATTCAAAAAAACACTTAAAATCCATGAAATACACAAACAACAATGTACAAAACTCATTTTCTTGTTCACCATATTCAGGTGAACAAATGAATAACTCCGAAAATTCATCGTTTCAAACCTTAAATTGTCCCGAGATATTCGAATTACCTCCTGATAATGATATTAACTTGAAAACAGAGTATATTCAGTTTACAATGAAGGAAAGCAATGATTGTATTGAAACATTTCCTTGTTGGCAATGTACGAGAACATTTCAATCCGCTCATGTTCGTTCAGATCACTTCCTCCGTAAACATGCCATACAGTTTCGATCTAAAATAATCAAATTATCGTATAGAACTTAAGAAGATACTAATGGATAACACAAAAATGTTGATGCCTTCCATTAAAAAATCGTTTAGATGTTGGATATGTATCAAACAAAAATTTCAATCCGAAAAAAGTTTTCTATCTCATTTTGTTTCGAAACATATCAGCTCAATTCTATCCAGCAATATTGATCCATTCAATTTTCTTCAAAATCAATTAACATTTTTACGAGAAAATATTAAGACTATATATGATAAAACTATTTATATGACTACATCAATCGATTGTTTACAATATTCTGAACAATTGGAATTGTCTTCTGATTTAATCCAACAACATGAGACTCTTCATAGTCAATTAAATACATCGAACACAATAGAAATACAACATTCTATTCAACAACAATTTCAAGGAAATAATGACCAAAAATGACTGATGAGGTTGTCAGTAGTTCTACAAGTATTTTATCTGACTATTCTGATCAAGATTTAGATTTAACTACCACACAATCGAATCCTATTTTGACAACTGAGATTACTCAACATACGACCGGTTCTTCGATTATATTTTCTTGTTGGTAATGTTTCAAAAAATTCAAAACAGTTGACGGTCGTTGGAGGCATTTTGCATATTGTCACTTTTTATCAACTCTATCCATTTCTGAAATACAATCGAGTTATGAAGATAATAGCAACGGTATTCAGCACAAAATACTGGATGACGCACCGGTTTCGAATATTTCTCTCACTAGACAATTTAAATGCTGCTCATGCACAAAGAAATTTCAATCCGATCAAAGTTTCTTAGCTCATTTCATTGATAAACATGCTAATTTCATTTTACCTGAAAATACTGATCCAATCGATTTTCTTAAAACTGTAATAGTTAAGGCAAAACAACAAATGATGACTTCATCCATTGATCATGTAACACCGCACAACTATTATCAAGATTTGAAAAATTTGGAACCCTTGAATACTGACAATATGAATGTTCAGAGTAAACGTATTGAATCTTGTTCGTCTAATATTACTTTAACAAGCAATCATACTGATTTAGAATCAGTATTAGCACAGTGTCAGAAGAAAATCACAGAACATCTGATCGAGATGACAACATGTCAATCAATCACATGTCCCAAAGTTGCTTTTCATGAGAAAAAGATTGAATCCATTTTATCTACGAATGATAAATCATTTAACAGTCCTAATAATCAATCAACAATAACAAAAATTCAAAATGATGCTGAGGAACAAACGCACCATTCTTCTAAAAGGTTTTCTTGTTGGAAATGCGTTAAGGCATGTAAATCTGCTCATGGTCGCTTATGTCATTTTATATCAACTCATTATGAATTATTTCTATCTAATATTTATATATCATCGGAACCAATGAGTAAGTTTAACTTATTATATGATAAAAAAAACGAATAAGTTCGATATTTCAGTGAATCCTTTGCACAATTCACGTTATTGTTTGGAATGTGGAAAGAAATTAAGATCCTATAACCATCAAATATCTCACTTCGTTAATAAACATGCCAAAACTATCCTATTCATGGATAATGATCCATCAGACGCTCTGAATAATCAAATAACAAATGCGCGAGAAAGAATAAAAATCGAAAAAGATACCATTAATACTATCAAAGCATTATTCAACTGTTCTCAATGCTCGAATACATTCAAAACAATTACTGATCTTTCGAATCATAATAACAGCAAACATACTAAATGCATTCATACTTTGCCATCTAAAATATCGGAATATGTTGATAGTAACACAAAACAGACACAAGAACAACCAGAAATCTTAAAAGACGTGATATACCCTTCCGGTGTATCTTTGAATAGTTCAAAATGTTCCATGGAGTTCGATGTTATTAATAATTGTTCGAATCGTTTAAATATTGATCATTTAGATTTCATAACACCAACGAGTTCTATGTCATCGAACAATTTTGACAATGAAATTGAAATGCTCCAAGAACAGACGAATAAAAGATCATCGAAGCGAACATTTATACGTATATCATATTATTGTTTACAGTGTCAGAAAGAATTTATGTGTGCTGATGATCATTACGAACATTTTCAAAACGAACATACACAAGTGAAATTATCTAACAGGACTATAGAAGAATTTTTTACTGATCCAGTTATTTTGCAATGTCCTAAAGCGCAGTCTACTACAATAGTTTACGAGTCATTAGGATCGACTCGAAAACAAATCTGCATTACATGTGACAAGATAAATCGTTGTCCTTATCAAACATGTCAATTAGAAGCAGTTAATTATGATTTCAAAGAGTTTTGGTTCCATATAATTAAAGAACATACAAATGCAGATATCAAACTTGAATGTTGCGATCCAATGATAATGTACACTCTAGAAGAATATAAAAAACACATTGAAAGTTTTGATTAGAATCATTTGACTTTCACGTATGATATAAATACTGTCATTTTTATAATTCTAACAACTTAATATTTTTGATTTGAAAGCTTTATCGAGAAATGTATGTGTGAGTTGAGCATAGTAACACAGAATAATAAATCCTAACTATAAGAACATTTATTGTCGTCATAAATCCTTTTTGAATACAAAGTTCAATTGTAGATGTGAACTGTGAATATTTCTAAATACACCACTGAATTAATCTAGTACTCTGTCACTAATGGTAAACTATTTTAATAGCGAAAATGAAGGTAAGAGGAAGTAACATAAGGCACAATAATTAAATGAGGTTCAGGGAAAGCAGAGTTGGACATGGCGTAGAGGGTGGCGATATGAATGCTTACATAAAATGCATGATCGCAGTCTTTTTCGTGAAATTGTCATCCACAACTGATATAAGTTTTCCTTTTTTTGCTATTCTGTCGCGCTTCTAGGATAGTCTAATTCGAATTATAATTTATAAATAAAATAATTTTTTTCTGCTTCTGCTTACTAACGTGATTATGAATTTTCGAAAATTTCATTTAAAGAGATGTCTTTTTAGCTTAGATTGTATTAAACAAGAACATCTGCATATTCAAGATTAGAAGTTAATTAAATATTTATTCATCTTGAATACAATCTTTTATGAAATAAGACTTAGAAAATAATGCTGATACAGGAAAGTTTTCTGATAGTGATTAATTTTTTTCTGTAGTGGAAAAGGAAAATATTCTTCTTCATCTTGATTGAGTTATTTGTTTATGGTTTACTTTTATCTTTACCGTGCAGCAACATAAATCCACATAGTATTGTCGAAATTTATTCATCTGCATTGCTTCTTATAATAAAATACTCGCTTGCTTTGATGGATAGAGCTCTATTAAAAGTTTCTTTATCCAAATAATTTATCTGTACTTTATATATCCTCTACGGTTATAAAAAAAAAGATGTTGTTAATATTTTATACTCTATCGAGAGCCCATTTATAACTCAACGAATTAGATACACTTATACTCTATGTATAACATATATTGTATAATTATTGCTTTTGGACAATATATATAGAGTGAAGATAGTATAAATATTTATTGAGTCCCGGAGGCAAACAAGTGTAAAAAAGGATTGTAAATCGCCGTCACAAATAGTCCTCGAAATGATTTTATGATCTATGTTTCTTGATATCTTGCATGCCAGTTATCGGTATATAAATAATATTGCATTTCACAATTGACTGAACGGACCAGTGACAATTTGATAATTGAAAAATAACAAAATATGTTTTCGTCCTTCGTAAAATCAGTCTTTTTATCACTTATTTTGCCGGCTCTTCATCAAACAAATGGTACGAATATAACATTTGTTCCACAATCGATTCATATAACAGTTGCTGATCTTCCGGAACCCTATGCTACGCCACATGTTGTGAAAGAAGCTCGAGTATACCCCGTACCTGAAAATCCTCTCTTATACGTTCCTGATGGATTCACCGTGAAATTATATATGAGTGGTCTTTCATCACCCCGATATCTAATTTATACACCCTCTGGTGATATTCTTGTTAGTGAAACAATTGCTAATCGAATCTCTTGTCTAATTGATAATAATAATGATGGTTATCCAGATCAGCGTTTAACATTTGCTGATACATCGAATGGACTTAATTTTCCATTTGGTATGGCTTTCGTCAATGGATATTTTTATGTTGGTAATCAAGATATTACTCGACGATATCTGTGGACATTTGGAAGTCGAAATATTACAGGCACAGGTGAAATAGTAATGACTTATCCTTCAGATTTTCATTGGACATGAACTGTTCTCGTTTCACCAAATAATAATCAAATATTTGTTACTATTGGTTCGGGATCTAATGTCGACGTAGAACCATTACCTCAAGCTTCTGTGCAACAAGTTAATATCGATGGTAGCAATCAAACAACATTTGTTTATGGTATTCGAAATCCTGTTGGTTTAACTTTTCATCCAATTACTAATAATCTATATCCAACATGTAATGAAAGAGATGGTGTTGGTGATGATCTTGTACCTGATTATTTTACACATATTCAACAAAATGATTTTTATGGATGGCCATATGCTTATATGAGTTCGAATTTAACTGATCCAAGGAGATGTTTCTCTAATGGAACAAGTGAACGACCTGATTTAGTATCAATTACGAAGACACCTGATGTTCTTTTTCAAGCTCATTCTACTCCACTTGATACTCGATTTTATACAGGTAATCAGTTTCCTAGTCGATATAGAAATGGTGCTTTTGTAACATTTCATGGTTCATTGAGTAGAAGTAGTGGAGTTGGTTTTGATATTGTTTTTATTCCATCCGATAATATTACCAATCGACCATTAGGTTATTATGAAAAGTTTGTTTATGGATTTTTAACAAATCCTGAGGGTCCTGATACATTTGGACGTCCAGTTGGATTACTTGTTTTAAACGATGGTAGTTTGTTATTTACTGAAGATGGAAATCATCGTATCTACCAGGTGCAGTACAATCAAAACTCTAATAGTACTAATATGGCGAGTACTATTCTTGTCAATCCTATTATTACACTGCTTAAGCCTCTACCGTTGTATTTTCTCCTTCATTCATTTTATTTCTCTCACTATCTATTATATCTGTAATAATTTAGCACTCTGTTCGCTTACTTTTCTATATTTCCTTTTTTTTCTTTACGCCTCCGCCCTTTCTTAAGAACTGGGTGCGGGTGTGGGTGGATGAGGGTGTATTTCAATCAAACACTCACACCCGCACCATAGACAGGTTGCGGAGGGCATAACGGACAGTGATAGACGGCTTCAAGGGACTATTGTGGATCATGTATAACTAGCATCTGATTAGAACATATATGGAGTTCCCCTCTAGAAGTTCTATACTCTAAAGTAAGCAATGACGAAGAAATATGCTTCAATATACATAAAAAGATCGGCTCGGAAAGGGGATTAACAATGATGATCACATCGTGTTTCACATTTTAATCCCACATGGATTGCCTCAATAGCTTCTTTTATAGTGTAATCAGAATATACTACCGGTTGGAAAAAACCAACAAGGTAAAAATGATTCATAAAAGACACATGATATGACATCATCTTCTAATGACTAATTGGATGTAACTTTTTATTTCCACTACTTCATTAATTGAGAAGAAAAATACGAACCCTTATGTGAGAGTTGTCAGGATGAAATATTTGTACGAGAATTCTAAATATTAGTCAATCATATAATATTTTCCTCAATTTTACTATTGAATTGAATATTGTACATAATCGTTAATGGGGTGTCATATTGGTAATATTGTCAACCAATGAAGTTTTTTTATTATTAATCATAGGCAGTTAATGATTACGTCAGTCGAAAAAGAAAATTTCTGACTCGTTCGATGTTTATGCTTTTAAAATTATTTTGGTAATATCAAATTATACAGCCACGATCGAAGAGTTATAGTAAATAGTTTTTGATTCAGTTATTTGATTGCTTTTTTCTTATGGATACAAGCATATATTCATTGATGAGACCTGTGGCTCCGCGCATCGCTTTGTTTCTCGACCGTCTGGATCCAACCGTTGAATGTTGGATATCGCATCTTGATTACACATCAAAAGAAAGGAAACGTGCCGTATTTCTATGTCCCGCTATTTTTCGCTCCGCCGAACTTATCTTTTTACTCTGGCGCTTTACTATCAGTTTATTTTGGCGGTGTCCCAACCTTCTTTTAAACACCACTCAAGCAGAGCAAAATAATGCAAGTTTAATCTTCTCAGATGAAATGTGGAATATTATAAACTTATTCATTGATTGTATTTTATTCAAATATCTTTTTCCTGGAGCGATAAGATATTTTTCTACGCATATTTATCTCCGTTTGCTGTATGGTTTTCGTGATGTTGAGGTTGTCTTTCGAAAACCGAAAAGTTATGCAATGTTTCTTCCTTCTTTCAATCAAAATTCAGATAAATTCCGAAACGATTTATTGCAAGCAATTAATCCAAACTTCTTGGCAAACAATCCTGGATTCAATACAAGAACTACTTACTGGGTTTTGGATTATCAAGCAACAATGAATGCGTATGCAGCTGAACGTCATATACCGATAGATACGTGGAAAATCAGTTTTTGGGCACGAAATGAACAGAGTGAATGGCGTGTTCTCGAACTATGGCGACAGAACGACTCTGGTTCTCCTTTACCTTTATGAATGAAGATGATTTGTTTCGTTTTGAAAGGATATGGAAAAGAACCTAAGGATCACATGTTCGAATTTACGACAATAGCTTACTTAATCAAGATTCAAGCAACTTATATATGAGGGAAAAGCAAAAATCTTGTACTCTAAGACTCTAGTCAAATTATCCTTGAGAACACTTTAGATATTTCAAATTTACTCTTGACCTTTGTTATAGTACATTAGCCCAAGTCCTACCTATGCAAGTCGATTTGACTATAGGGCAAAAACACTCCTTTGTACTTCACTTGTATTCAAGGTCTAGAGTATATAATCATATATTTCGGATGTATTCTCGAATTGACTCACATAGATTGAACACTGACTAATACACTGTAATACAGATCGAGAATAGACTTGAATATTTAAAATGTTCTCAAGGATTGTTTTACTAGAATCTTGGAGTAAAAATTTTCGCTTATTTTCTCTTGAATTTATATTAAGCATAAATCTAAATCGATTAAACAAGAAAAGTTTGGTTGTTTTGATTGATTTATTCGAACTAAAATTGATAAACATATGTATTTTGATTGATAATTCATTAAAAAGGGTGTATGGGTGTGGGTGTGGATGTGTATGAATGAGAGATATATACCTACACCATGATCGAATATGAAGTTATATACTCAATCATTATAGTTTTTGAATGATTAATTCAACAGCATTCAAAGGAAATGGCTCAGTAAGTTCTCGAGATGATTACTTCTTGGATATTTCCGTTAAAGCATATAAACTTTCGATGAATATTATTTTTCATTACTTGTGACTAATTTACAAGCACTTATCTGTTTTACTGTTTCGATGATATTCATGAAACATTTATCTGCGAAAATTCTCAGATTCGAAGCTTTTTTTCTCATAGAATCTTGCATCGTTCTGCTATTTCAATATTTTTACCTAGATTAGAGATATGGAAAGAAAATTTCATTTTTAGCATTAAAAAAGACGTAATTGCATTCTTTTTCTCTTCAAAATATGTTATGATAAAGTTCAGAGCTCTCCAAAGATATGCCGTGTAGTTGTGAAATTGAGATTCTTCTCTTCATGGATATCACTGCATTCATTGGTATTTTAGTCATCATTTGAAGGATATATGATAAGAATACTTTATTTGTTGTCATACATTCATTTTCTTTTATAATGATTTCGAATGGCAAGATAAGCATGTTTGTATCGAATAGAATAAGTCAACAATACCTGTGTAAGTTGCATATCTGTATATTTACCTACAGAAAGATTTAACACATATGAAAATTGTGTCGCTGATATCTTTGGAGTTGCTTCGAAATTCAGGTGAGTCTGAGTCATGAAACAGTCTACTAACGATTTTAATATATACAAGGTTCCTAAAATATACAGATGTGAACAGCTATTCGATGCTTTCAGCTCGTTTTTTTGTGATAAAAAAATACAGTTAAATGGCATTCTTTTCACATCAATTTCGCTTCTCAGTAAGTAAATATACGCATGCCGCAGTCGTACGTGTAGTATTGTAAATTCATCATATTTACTGAGAAAAAAAAATGAAATGTTTTATTACTTGAAAGTGTCATAAAACGACAGTAAGATAGTATATTGTATAGATGTTATCAGGATTCATCCAACTTACGACTACAAATAAGGCAATTATATTATAGAATAAAATTTTAGAATTGACCTAATCGTAATGAATAGATTTTATCTCTAGCCGTAACAACTTTTTCTTATTTCAAATCTATAGGGTATTCTCTCAAGCTCGATACATAAACAAATGATGATGATGATGATGATACTGTTAGGGTATATTATTACGGCATAGCTATAACATCGTATTACTTATGTGTCAACTGAAGTATAATGCATAAGAAAAGGCAAGAACGAGACTGTTACTAGTTTGGTATTATTTTCTTTCGCACAACCACTGGCACACAATAAAATAAAATTTGTCGCATATATTCTGAAAACGTGATTCGAATTGATGATACTTAGTCTTGAAGACTTAGACGATTAAATCTCAAGATCAAGTCGATTGGATCATGATCAGACTACTTCGAAGCAGTTCCATTCTAGATCAATCTCTCCGCGGGTTATCGACTGATGCCTAATCGAAAAATTATCTAGAAAGAAAAAGAACATGTGAAAATGAATAAATTCGTCGTTATGTTCAATGGAGTTAGTTATATGTAGCAATGAGAACAGTGAATGAATACTTAACAGACAGGATAAGATAAATCATTACACAACATATTCTAACTCGGACACATTTTATCTTAATGTACACCCACATCTGACACTCATTTCGCGCGACCCACACTCTGGTAACCATTTCAGTTGGTTATTAGGGTGCAAGTGGGATGAGTATCAAGTCTATGTGGTGGTGTGAGTGTCAAGAATATGGGAAAGAAGATAACACAAAAACTCAAGTCCAGTCGCTGGTTACTAACAATGGAGGTGTTTGTATTGTCCGTGAGAAAAATGGTACATATTCG